AAGGCTCATCTACAAACATAGAGATAACTCCAATAAACCATATTCGTAACTAGTTAAATAAATTATACAAATCAAAACTTGAAAAACAATAGCTTTGACTATGGATTGTTCTCCATCCATCAGTTAATCAGTTTTTGATACATCGATAATGGATCTCAACTTGATGTCCGAAGGTGGCATCAAAATACTAGACATTGTTTTAAATATCCCTGACATAGCCCAATATATCCCCTGTTATATCCTTTTACAAGTTTTGACACAACCGATATGGTCTCTAAATATCCTTTACCGCTTTTTACTATTGTTTTAAATATCCTCAATATGGCCAATATATCAGCCATATGTTGGCCAATATATCCTTTTATATAGCTTGTCGCAAAATAATATATCGCGTTTGACAATTTCTAGGTGAGATGATATCATAATTTTCCCATTATATCAAATAACATTTTGGCCAAAAAAATCAGACGAAATGTTGCACTGTTGATCTGCATTTTTGTTGGTTTTACAAGGTTGATTAATGATCGTAAACCAAGGTTGGTGATAGCGGATCGCGTCGCGTCGCGGCGAGGTACCGCTTAGGCTATTTCGGGCCATTACGATAAAATAGCAGCAAATAGCACACAGTCAAATAGAGGTCAAATATAAATATATTTAAATATTCTAAATAATAAGAAAAATCATATAAAAATCTAAAAATCCAATTATCAACAACCAATTATCAACAACCCTTTAAAAGTGGATGAAGCTTTAAAACGCTCTCAAAACCTTAAATTAAGATTGGTGTATCTGTCTGAGCTTTTATAGGCAGTTGTCAGGTTAGTCTTGCTGACAGGAGTTACGTAACTGGACGAAGCAAACTATGTAATTGAACAAATGAATTAGTGTTCGGTTATGTGCAATAAATAATAAAATTAGAGAGTTTTTGGCATTGAGAAACATGTTTTAAAACTGAAAGGGAAGATAGGGAAAATATGAAAAGGTTTAGAGGAAATGGAGAAGAGGGAAGTAATAAGACCTTGAGAAGATTTTATAACTTGGTTATGTAGATTTTCTTTATTGAGCTTTATCTACTCCCATGTTGAACCCACAAAATTTATTTGCATCATTAAATTCATCATAAACATAAAACAAATGACAACCATCCCAATCTGCTAGTTAACCATCGTAGTTTACCTTTTCCTCTGTTGCAAATCTAACCAACAGAGTTGGAGATGACATCGAAAGGAAGCTTGTCGGAGACTCGAAAGTCGGAAGTCGTCGCTGGGAGCTGGAGTTGGAGCGAAAGTCGCTGGAGGTGGAAGTCACTGAAGTCCTGCAATCGACAGAGGGAGGCTGATGGTGATAGAGAGAAGCGGAGATGATGAGAGGCGGAAGTCGCTGGAGCGGATTCGTCGTGGCCCGTGGGAGAGGGTTTAATTTTAACAAGTCGGGTTCAGATTCGGGTCGGGTTCGGGGGGGTAATATCAAATACGTGTGATAGCGGGTTTAGCGGGTTTAGCCGCTTTTATCCGCTGTTAAGCGCTATTAAGCGTTTTTACGCACTATTCGAATGCATAGCGGTTTTTCCCGCTTAATCCAGCCGCAAAACCCTTACGCGTAACGTTGAAGGACCGCGACCGCTATTCGCGCCGCTATAGCCCTGCTATTGGTCGCTATTTACAACATTGTCGTAAGCATATATTATTTACATTTTGTATGCTGGATTTCATTAAGTATGTTGAGGTTACATTTAAGTGCATTATACTATATATGCAAACATCTGTTATGGTATTTTAATATTTACCACATATCCCTAATATTTCCCCAATATCCTCAATCCGATTGAATTTCGGCAACCCGATATCCGATATTTAAAACTTGATGCTAGATAAGAGGAAACTTATACGAATAGGAATTATCCTAAAAGCTGGAAGACCAATTGCCACATGCTAGCACCACTTAGTCTTTATTTTTGTAGTTGTTAGTCCAACTCCGATGCACCAATAACTATCATCACAGTGTATCTACCCACTAATGGCAGTAGAAACAACATATAGGAAACCTATTCATTAGCTCAATGCACCTAGAACCAATAAAATTATATTCAGTAGGGCCATGACCAAGTTGCCAAAAGATGCAAATTGTCTATCTCATTTCATAGCAAACACTAAAAAATGAGAACTGTGAGCTCTTACTGATTGAACTCGATGATAAAGCCTTCTCTAGCATAATAGTAGTGGGCTTAATGTTCAAAAAATAGAATGTTACAAATTCTAGACAAAAAAGACGTAAACTATGAATACCTTTTGATGCCCATAAATCTTGACGTGCGAAATAAGGACACATTGTCCAACATTGTACCCACATCAAATGCACATTGAATATGGACTTTATTAGACATTCCTCAAACAAGTGGCAGACACTTCTCAAATGCTTTTTTATTTTATAAATTTTTCAATTTTAGATGCTTCTTTGATATAGTTTCTATGCTTTTGCATGCTCATTACATATGGAGGTATATATATTTACTTTATTTAGGGATTAAAAATTATATTTAGAAGAAAAAATCAAATAGATTTGAATAAAAGTTCAATGCTTTTAGGCCTTGTTGAATGAGAGAGGTCAAGGTGGTGTTACAAGTTTTTCAAGGGAGTTAGGGGTTTTACCAATATGTGTGTTTTGGTTATTTGGATGGGGGTATAGTGTAGATGTTAGCAACTTTTGCGAAATTTGTGAGTGATTGTTAGCAAAAAATACCACCTTGAAGTTATTTGTGCACAAAACGGAGAGGTTCTACAATAAAACATCCGAAAAGAATTATATCTAAATTCTATCCATTTTTAAGTGTTCAAGGAGTGAGAAGAGTTATCAACCTACTCTTTAATTATTGTCACCAAATAGAGCCTTAGGGTATGTCTCAAATACAAATAGAGGATGTACATCTCTAAGAAGTATGTCAAACAATCTTATAGACAACCACTATCGTAGGCGAATCAGATCCATGCCTCAGTGTACCTCTCTTCTATAAAATAATACTCCTTCACAATTCCAAAAGGTCTCAATTAACTTTTATAATTATTTACAATGCAAATGAGTCAAATGCAAGGTAATTTCTTCACCAATAGGGCTGAACGTGTTTAATTACCTGAACAACTTTGCCGTAAGTATATAAGCCTAATAAGCCAATTGTTCACAAAACTAACCGAAAGTTAGGTGATGGGAAATGTAACAACAATTAACACAAAAACAAAATAAATAATAAAATTTAAGAATTCCACCTCGCGTCTGTATTAATGGCTTTGCATCTACACATCTACATCAATGGCCCTACACCTGAATCATTAGACTCGCTCCAATTAAGATCTCACACCTCCATAAGTAGGGTCTCGCACCCAATATTGAATCACACGATCTACAAGAATCATAATTTTATCATAACACCATCATAACTCTATTTAACCAATATTTTTTATAGATCTGCCAAACTTGATAACTAAGAGGCTAATTTCGAATAAGAAAGAAATATAATCATCTTAAATAAAAACTTTTCTAATAGTTATACTCTAAAAGGATTCAAAAATCAATTAGAACTCATAATTAATAAAATTCCTTATGTAAATAAAGCTACAGAATAGTTTCTAGTAATATTAAAATTCTAACTCAAAAAAGAAGTTTGCACCATATATTTTCCTTTTCTTTCTTCATCTCCTCTTATTTCCAAGAGAAAATTACCATGTAGCATAAGGTCTAGAAACTCCATATATAGTAGTCTAGACTAATTTCTAGTAACTCTCTCCAGTACCCATCCTATGATTAAAAGTTCAAATGACAGGAAAGCAGATTCCTAGTCTTTTATCTCATCATAAGATCCTCAATCTCAAACTTCTACACACTATTCTTCTACAAGGTTTACCATCTTACCGCTGCCTCTGCTTCTATTGACATATAAATCTTGATAAACTAAGAAACTCTTAAGAGATAACAGGAAGGGTCGGAGCAGTGACATGAAGCAACAATTCCAATTCAAGAGTAACCAATGCAGCTCTCATTCCAAAGTGAAGGAGCGTCTCCAATTTCATAATTAGATCATATGGTCGCATTGAAAACAACCATTCTTTTGAAGATCTGCATGTAATTGAGTGAATAGATTTTGCCAAAAATTCTTATGTAAAAAATAAGTAATTTGTCTGGTGGCAAAAACATTTGTAAAACTATTTTCCTGACAGAAAAACAGGTTAATGTCTATCCACTTTTGTTGTTCACAATCAACTTTTGGTCATAATTATAAGCAGTTGATGCAGGTTGGTTTAAGGTTATCGATGAACTTCATGCAGGAAATTTTGGAATAGTTGCTATCCACCTTTCGAGTATATAAGGAGAAAGATTGCTTTGTAGCTTAGGCAAAATTCAACAAACTAACCAACCATATGTTAGTAATAAAAAAGAAACAACCGAATGATACTTAGAGACATTCTCACATAGGATATTCGCAAGAACAATCCATACTAACATTGTTAGGAGTTATTTACAAACCAAAAGCTGAGTTGTTACAAGTATTTTATGGAATTATGGAGGACAAATGATAAAGGTTATAAAGAAAGGGTTGAGACTACAGTAATCTTAATATGTAATGTATGAACTAGTTGTGAAAGTAACTAAGTTGGTTGCTGCTTGTTCATATCAGTACTAGGTGAAAGTCATCACAATTTCACCCCCACCCCTCCCCCTATCCTTTTAACCATATTTCTTAGTAATATTTTTGAAACTGTGAAAGAATCAACAATTTGAATTATTCATACCAAATAATAGCCTCCATTAGCATTGAATTCAAATACTTATAAGTAGGCATTAAATATGAAAAAGATAAGAACTTCATATTGGCTTAACAACAGCTTTCCCTTAAAATATTTTTTTACTTCACCATTGAAACATAAGAAAAGACAATCTTTTTCTTGCCGCAAAAAGACAAACAATGATTTGGAAAGTGCATATAATAAGAATGCAATGAAAATATTCACCTCCCCGCCAGTTGCAAGTATCGACCCTTCCACATTAAAAGCTAATGCCAACTGTTGACCAACATCTTCTAGCTTTGATAATATCTTTTCGGAAGGTTTCATTGCCAGGAGTTCCTTATTCTCCAAAAAGTCCCATTCAAACAACCTACAAAACATAATAGACTGCTGCTAGATCACTATTTCAATAATTTTCTTCTTTTTTTTTTCCTTTTGATTTATGCATAGAACAAGCATTACAAATGAAATTAGAAAGAAAAAATAAAATCAAGAGAAAGATAATACATATTTTGATCTGAAAATGACACAGCCTAAAATGTTAACATGAAATTTGGAACTGAGTGAATAGTTAATAATAGGGAAATCAAAATATTTGTTTATAAAAAATACTTACAGATAAATATATACATATGGGCCATAAACAAAATTAAAATACTTTGGTGCTTTTCCCTAGAGCCCATGAGATTTTCTATATGCAAAACCTAAAAGAATATGTATGAATAGCCATCTTGTAAGGATTTGCATGGATGAGAACCAGGACACTCTATCATGAACAAATGCCTAAACCTAAAAAAGTCCTACATAACTAGTCAAGCATCAACCAAACGCAAAGTATTACGTGAATGATGCAGACCAAGGAAACATGTCAACATTTAAGACAATGATCACTAATTTTTTTTAATGCATAAACCGAAATAAATAAATACATAAATTAGAATTACACTGGTTTACAATAAATATAAAAGTGTGTATCTTAGATGAAGAATACCAATTTTCCAACATCTCATAAAAATGTCAAATCTTGGAGAGGCCCAATGACAGACAAGCCAATTCCACATCGTCAATGAACAATATAAAACTCTTATTAGAGAAAAACTATCAGAAACAGTATCATTCTACATTATTGCATATCTAAAATTTCTAGATAGAACTATGAGAACCAATACTCTTCTACATCATTGCATGATAATGTACAACTCTCGGAGCTGTGATTGAGGAGAGTTGGTCAAGACATTTTCTTGCAAAGCTATTATCACAAAATTCAAGCTATTCAAAAGTCCAAAGTGTGCAATTCTCCATTATTTTTCATTTTTTCAATTTTTTTTTTTTTTGAAATTGGTAGCATGCAGTTTGATTTAATTACCCAAAAAAAAAAGGTTAAATTGATTTGGTACCTGCATGACTTAGGAAAAGAGCAAACAAAGCCATCTCCATTAGGATGCATCGCCATCCTATAAGGCAATTCTCCATCCATTCCCAATCTAAAAACCTGACTCAAAATAAATAAATAAATAAGAAAAAGAAGTCATTAGTATAAGAAATGTTCGGGTTAGGGTTTTAGAACTCATAAGTGGATTCAAAAGATACCGGTTCGTCGGAGAGAGATCTGGAAGCAAAATCGAAGGTGGAGAGAACAACAGCGTTCGGGATGCCACTATGTCCCTCGCCTCCGCCACCGCCAAGGGCAACGAAAAGTCGATCGGAGGTCGGATGTTTTGGGATCTCCTGCTCTTTGCTTTGATCTTGATGATCCTCATCATTGTTGTTGATGATGTTGATGCGATCGAGGGGGACGCAGGACACACAGTAGAGAGGGACACCATAGGTTTTGCGGCACGACGGGTTCTCGCTCGCCATCGCTTAGTGTCTCTCCCTTAGAAATTTTTCATCAAAAAGGTACTTCGATTATGATTTTCTCTTTAATTTTTAGGGTTATTTTAGTCCCTGAGATATTTAATAATTCCATATTAGCCCCTCAAATCTCAATAAAAGGTATTGTTATGTGTTACCCCAATAACGAAAATACTACTTGGTTATGATTACTCTCTGAAAAACGATATTGTTCTAAGAAATGGTTATTTGCACTTTGTTACTCTAAAGTAGACATTTCCCAACTTTAATATGCTAAAGTTTTTTTGCATTTTGATACCTTAAAGTATTTTTTTTTAACTTTGATATATTAAAGTGTTTTCTGACATATTTTTTATGACAAAGTTTATACCTTTATAACTTTGATACCCCAAGATTTTCTTTTTGACACATTGATACCCAATATTTTAGGGTGTCAAATTAAAAAAAATGTGTGAAGTTTGAGGTATCAAAGTTAAAAATTTACAGAATCTTTGCGGTACTAAAAGGTAAAAATATGTAATTTAGGGGTATAAAAGTGTCAAAAAATATGGGGTATCAAGTGTTGGCATTCTTATTTTGATGATGTTTAACAAACAATTTACTTCTAATGTTGTTTGTTTAGTGTTTGTATAATTCTATTTATTGTAGACAAACAACATGTTGGAGGTTGGATGGATTGCGTCATAACGATCATATCAAATGGAGGTTGGCGGATATAGTGGTTAAAGCAATGTAATTCAAGTTCAAGATCCAAGTTCAAGCTTCATCCGCAAGTGTACCAAGTCAAGCTTATTCGTTTTTCCAGAATAACTCTTTTAAAAATATTTCTCATAATAATAATTCTTATTAATCTAGAAAAACATTAATTTATTATTTGAAATTATTTAATATTGTCGTCAACAGTCTCACGCAGATAATCATATTACAACTAATCTACACTTATAATTAATAATTATTGAAATAACAAAGAGAGGCGGGATCTTGCCTACGAGGCCGAGGGCCTGACGACAAGCGGCGATGCAGCTGCGGGGACGGATCTGGACGCGGTGCGGGTCGTCGGAGGTAGTGACGAAGGGCAACGAGCAGGAGGTGTGACGGTCGAGTGCAGGGGCAGCGATGATTCAGGGAGAACCGGCGGCGTTCGGTAATGGGAGAGGAGTGAGGGGCTGTCGACGAGGTGAAGAGAGGGTGGCCGGAGGACTGGAGGTCGAGGGCGTTGTCGTCGGCGAGGGGAGGAGCTTGGCAGAGGGTGGTCGAGCTCAGGGGACGGCGAGAGGGTCCGAGCGGCGGCGTGGAGCTCAGGTGGAGGCGAGCTCGTCGACGACGAGAGCTCAGGTCAGGGGGTGGACATGGCTGGCGGTGAGCTTCGAGGAGGTTCGGAGTTGTAGAACGGAGGTTCAGCGGTCGGAGCTCGCGGTGTTTTGGTCGGGGGTTGGGTTCGTGGCTGAGGAGGAAACGGAGGAGAGAGAGAGAGAGAGTTGAGCTGGTTGGGGAGTTGATGAAGGAGAGGGGTTTCTTGGGTTTTTAAAAGAGGAGAGAGAGAGGAGAGTACGGTGAGAGAGTGTAGAGAAAAGAGGATGAGCTGGGGGTTAAAAGAGTGATTTGAGAGAGAGAGAGAGAGACAGAGAGGACGTTGATTGGTTGAGTGTGAGAGATTTGTTGGATTAGAGAGAGAGTGTCAGAGAGAGAGAGAGGTAGATTGAGTGTGGGATTGGAGAGAGAGTAAAAACGACGGAGAAATTAATGAGGAAGATTGTGCGGGATAGGGTGGTTGGGAGGACGTGGGTTGAGAGCTGGGGGAAAACATGAGGCGGAGGGATATACAGAGTGAACACCGGTGAGAGGAAAAACATAGGGAAAAATACCCCTTTAAATAATTTAAAAATATCATAAAATTTATTCCAAATAAATATTAAAATTTTATGGTCAAAATAATAGTAACAATAATAATGATGAATAATTTACTATTTATTTAAATATTTTACCAAAACAATTAAATTTATAATTAGCAAAACTTATTAAAATAACATAATACCGTAGTTTTAAATCATAGAAAATTCTAGAGAAATTGGAAAAATACAAATACTCTTTTAGAAAAATAATATTTAATATTTAAATACCAGAAAAATATTTAAACCTGTATTAGAAATTTACGGTCATTACAGATTGAAAAGGCACTGAATGGTCCTGGGCCAGGGAAGAAGATTGTATATCTTTAAGGCTGTACCCAGCTTGTCTGTGTAAGTTTACAAATTAGTTGTTAAGGTTACTGGTTGTACGTTAAGGTTACCGGTTGGTTGTTAAAGTTATAGGTTGGTTGTTAATGTTATTGGTTGGTTGTTAATGATAGGGATTAGTTGTTAAGGTTACGGATTGGTTATTAAGGTCACAGGTTGGTTGTTAAGGTTACAACTTTATTGTCAAGGTTACGCTTTTATTGTTATGACTGCTTATTTGTTGTTAAGGTTAAAGGTGGTTGTTAAGATTCTCTTTCTAATGCGCAGCTGTGGTACTATAAACTTACTAGTATCAAGAAGCCAGTAGTGGGAAGTGAAATTACCCTAGAGGGGGTGGGGTGAATAGGGTATATGCTAATCTGATCTGATATTATTGCTAATTTAAAAACTTATTAACAATTATATCCTAGCAAGATTGATATTCAACAAAATATGAGCAATGATATGTAATTAAACAAGAGCGAAATAAACGTGAACACATATGCAAATGAGATAGTGACGAATGACAATCGCAAACACACAATATGATCACGGAGTTCGGTCACCCTCGATCTACGTCTCCACTCATAACTCACGAGGAGAATCTCTACTATCACAACCGGTTTTTAATGTTCATCGAAAATGTTTACAAGTCACACAATCGGTTTTCTAGCTCACCGAAAACTTTCACAACTCACACAAATGTAATCACACAATACACCCTCTAAGTGTTGGCCTCTCATGTGTCACCTTCCTCAAGTGCTCAGATTTACCACCTCTTCCTATGCTTTACTACCGACGCTACTCCTCTTAAAATTGACCTAGTCTCTCACCACATATTCCTCTCGGTGTACTTGTGTATTACAATATGATCTCATAATGAAAGCTCAAATATAAAGGGTTTGTTCTCTAATACAATGTGAGAACAAAATTAAGCTCACTTTCAATGTTATAACCCCACAACCCAATAATATACTATATGTGAAAATACTTAAGCTCAATGGGTGTGTGTGTAACCAATGAGTGTAAATGAAATCAAAACTCAAATTAATCTAGCAATTAAAAATATACCAATTAAAATATAAACAAGCTAAATAATGAGTTTAAGAAAACTTCTCTAAACAAAGAGGGTTGAAGAATTGAGGTTGAACTCCCTCAAGGATGAAATCAAACTCTTCTCTTTGTGAAACTTTCTTCACATAAACAAACTTGTAAAACTCTTTAAAAACTTAAACAAACTTGCCGAAACTTGTTTTAAACTTTTCTTCATGTGTTCAGCAGTTTTTGGATAAGGGGTATATATAGGATCACAAACCAAAGCCCAAAACCAAGAAAATATGACAAAGCAACAAAGTCTAGATACTAGCCATTATTCCAATGGTCATCAGTTCGGTTGACCGGATGACACTGGTCGGTCGACCGAAGGGGTCCATCGGTCGACCAGATATAAATTTTCGGTCGACTAACGGACCCTGAGAAAAAACAGTTGAAAAGTCATGTTCTGGTCGGTCGACCAGAGGGTCATGTTCGGTCGACCAAAATTCCCTGAGAAGCAATACTGAAAGATCTCGTTCTAGTCGGTCGACTGGCAGGCCTTGTGCGGTCGATCGAAAACTGACACATGACAAAACTGCTGAAAAAACTAAATTTGAAACGTCTTTATAAAATATCAAATAAATTTCAAAAATTGTAAAACTTGGAGAAATATTTATAAACATGATAATGAACATGTTACAAAAGAAAATTTTCAAATTGCATTTCTCATTTCTGAAAACTCATCGTTTTGCAAAAACTCAAAAATATGTGTTTGTATGAACAATTGATTTTTATATATGGCTTAAACTAAGTTATAAAAATATTTTGAATTGATTTATGGACTATATATAAGATGTATATAAAGTTTATTTTGTCCATAAGTCAATATCACAAAGTTTTCATAGAAATACCCAAATGGTGATGAAAATAGAGAATGTGTATGTGTAGATAATTGAGCTTAAAGTATTGATACACAAAATACACATCCTACACTAATATACCATGTTGATATGCATATGAATCTCTTTTCTTGAATCTTTGACTTAATTTGTATTGGCTTCATTGTCAATGTAGCTCTTGAATCTTTCAACCTGGGTATATAAAACAACACTATAAGATGTATATAAAGTTTATTTTGTCCATAAGCCAATATCACAAAGTTTTCATAGAAATACCCAAATTGTGATGAAAATAGAGAATGTGTATGTGTAGATAATTGAGCTTAAAGTATTGATACACAAAATACACATCCTACACTAATATACCATGTTGATATGCATATGAATCTCTTTTCTTGAATCTTTGACTTAATTTGTATTGGCTTCATTATTAATGTAGTTCTTGAATCTTTCAACCTGGGTATATAAAATAACACAAGCACTAGAAAATACAGTTACAAATTATTTGTTAAATCATTAAAACAAGATTAGAGAAGTAGACTCACTACATGAGTCCTAACAGGAAGAACGACACGGCCTCCCCTCACTAATTGGGTGAAACTAAAAAATGTTGCGGGATCCCTGCGATTGGTCACTGTTGTAGCTAAAGCAAGACAAGCTACTATAAAGCTTCCATAATTCCTGGGCCAAGTATAAAGTATTGAGGGAGGTTTACGGGAGGAGGAGCAAGAGAAGTAAAAAGAGAAGAAGAAAAAAAGAAGAGAAGAATAAAGAGAGAGAGAGGGGGAGAAGAACAAGGAACCGACTCCTAGAGACGCCGGTAGTTGATCAAATGGAAACATTCTTGAAGGATGTGTAAGCATTGTAGTAAAATTATAAATTATAAATGTCTTGTTAATGGTGTC